GCCTATTCAAAATAGGATTGCCTAATCAATGTTTGTGTCACTGTACCTCATAATTTAATTATTGAAACAAATCCTTTTTTTGTTCATTACCAATATTGACCACAACTACAATACTATTCAGTGTATAGAAAATGATAAATATATAGAAAATGATTGAATGAATTAAAAATTTAGTTAACAAAATGAAAGTTTTCATACAATGACACCTGCCTATAATTCTTTAAACACTATAATATTCTATTGGGATGTATTTAAAAAACAACAACATTGTAATTATTTAAATTTCATCTGATAATTGTTGATAATGTAGTTCTTTATTTTTTTATAAATATAAAAATATTGTATGGGCAGCTACATTGTTTTGCCCTGATTGCAAGGAGTAGTACATAACATGATCCTTCTGAGGCAGTAGTACCATTTTCCCCATCTTATGCATGGAAAAACTGAAGCAGAGAGAAGTTAACTAATTGGTAACTATAAATGATAACTATAAATGATAATTTCATGGTGCAATTATTTCCAATTGCTATAAATGATTCACGATTTCTGGTTATTTGTCTATTTTTTTTTATTTAGGGGGTAAAGGAAAAACTATAAGAGATGAACATAAAAAGGAAAAACATAGGTTGTCATTCAGTTTTATAGTGAGGACTTGTTGGATGCAATTTCAGTAAGCAAGGATTGTGTGGAGAGATTAGATCAGTTACAAATTGCTAAATCTGATGGCTTAGATAAAAATTTTACCAGAGGCTTTAAAAGAAGTAGAACATGTTTTGGGAAGAAGCAATTGCCTTCTGGAGAGTGCACATAGTATACATTTTTCAAAGCAAATTAAATGTGAAGAGATTGTGTGACCAGACCCCCAATTAGAATGAAATGATTGCGTTTTCAGCCAGAACAGGCAAATCATCTACATTCTGTGTTTAGACTTATTTCTTTACAATCACCTTCCCTTCCTATTTCAGTACATGGCATCAAGCAAAATACAAAGTATATATATTTTAAACACTGATCAAAGAGAAATAAAGCATGTTTTATCCCTAGATGGGTCTGTACAAAGTACTTTGTAAATGGAAAAACAATGACCATATATATATGTCATATATATATGAATATATTTCCATATATATGCATATGTGGAAATAGGTAAATATATTACTCTTTCTTCTCGTAAAGTAACTACATGAGACATTAAATTACTGATAAGCAAAATATAACAGAAAAAGCCTAATATTTTGATTTTTGTTTTTCTTTTTCATATCTTCTTTTTTTTGTTCTTTATTGTTTAAAGTATTACATATGTCTCCTTTTTCCCCCATTGACCTTTCCCTGGCCACTCTCACTCCCCAGAACATGCCCTCACCCCACTACTGTGTGTGTCCATTGGTTATGCTTATATGCATGCATACAAGTCCTTTAGTTGATATCTTACCCCCACCCCACCCTCCCTCCCCTGCCTTCCCTCTGAGGTTTGACTGCCTGTTCAATGCTTCTCTGTGTCTGGATCTGTTTTTGTTCATCAGCTTATGTTGTTCATTATATTCCACAAATGAGTAAAATCATGTGACATTTCTATCTTTAGTTTAGAAACAATCTCTCACCTCAGGAATTAAACTATGTTGAAAAAACTGGAATATATTTCTTTGGACCCATGCCTCTGGATCCTTCAAGCACTCAACTGCATTGTGTTTGGTTTATAAATTTTTCAAAATGTCAAAAATAATCACATTTTGGATAGACAATCTCTTCTTGATTTCATAGTGTGTGTGTGTGTGTGTGTGTGTGTGTGTGTGTGTGTGTGTGTTTGTGTAGTATTGTCTAATGAATGAGGAAACAGAAGATCCATTTCTTCCTGAGAGGCCAATGTTACACAACCATTTAACATAAAATATCATTAAAGTTAGGCAATTTGTCCTGAACTCATAAGAATGTCTTGAATCTTCCTGAAATTGAGCTCAACTTTATATCGCACTCTTGAGCTTTAGCTTTGGCAGTGAAAGTGCATTTATTGGCATGAAAAATGCCATTAACCTTTACTTACAGAATGCTTTTTAAAAACGACATTAGTTATGATGAGTACTTTGAAACCTTTCATCTGGAAAACTAAGGATCAAATGGACCTTCTAATTAAAACAACTAATTGAGAATATTAGAGAATTTCAACAATGATTGTAATTCAAGAAAGTATATTAAGCATATTAAATGCAATGGAAAGAGACTCATCCTTTGTCTGCCTTAGTATCATTTTTTGGCTGAATCCCTTATCATTTTCTGACTGAATCCCTTAGGCCAATAACTTAGAGCAATATTTTGCCACTTTTGTCTTTATGATACATGCGGAGACTAACATGTAGCTAACACAACACTTAACATAAGCCATCTCTATGCACGTGATCAAATTTAATGATACAGCTGAGATGTAAATATCCCAAAGTAAAAACAACGTGGCCTCATTTTAGAAAACGACTAAAGGTATTTCAATATATCCCCCAAATCTTTTTAAATAAGGACAAACGAAGTTAAGTTATATACTCATCCATAGCACTCAGCACAATGCTTGTATTTAATTGCAGTGACAATATTGATAGTAAAGACATTAAAACCAACTACATTTTTTTCAAGAACTCCTTTTCTCCTTCTTCAGTACTTAAAGTCATTAAGAGCTAAAACTTGGTGGGAAGGGAAGAATAAACTTTAAGTCTGGATGATCTGTTTTATTTTTATTTGAATTATCCAATCATCATTTATGAGTTTTTTCTAATATGAAAAACAACTACTTAGTCTAAGATGTGATATGATCACCTCAGTTTGGTTTTCCACAGAATTTAAATAGAAAGTGAATAAACTTGTTCATTTACTTCATCAGCTCTTTCTGTAGGCCATTAGTATTAGCCCGCTAAAGTAGAAAACATATACAACTTGATATATATATATATATTAGAGTCCTCGTGCATGAAATTCATGCATGTGGAGGAGGTCCCTCAGCGTGGCCTGCACCCACTCCAATCTGGGACCCCTAAGGGGATGTCCTACTGCCTCTCCCAATCCGGGACCACTGGCTCCTAACCGCTCACCTGCCTGCCTGCCTGATCACCCATAACTGCCTCTGCCTTGCCCCACTCCTGGGACCCAGGATTTCCTCCTTTGGTTGGTTACAGGCACCCGGGACCTGGACTTCCCTCCCTCTGGCCAGCTGCAGGCACCCAGGACCTGGGCTGGCTTCACCTGGGCCAGCAACAGCTGCAGGTGACCATGGATGGGCAGCTTTATCCAGGACAGAGCTGCAGGCACCCTGGACCGTGAGACAGGTGGCTTATTCCTCTCCCAGGCCACAGCCTGGCTGGTCCCCAATCCTCTCTCACAAGCTCATTTGTGCCTGGCTGGTACCCATTCCTCTCTTCCCAGTATTGAATGTCTGAGCAGTTCTGGTGCAAGGGTACGAAGGCGTGAGGGCGTGATGACCTTTTGCATATTAGCTCTTTATTATATAGGAGGATATATATATATATCTGAAAATATTATCCAGCAAATACTCATGCCTGTGTTAAAGGAGTTCCTAAATTTCTCAGAAATGCTCAAAGAACATTTAGGTAGAAGGGGTTAATAGCAATGAGCCAAGTAAAAAATTGAATGTTTTTTAATGCTTCCATTTCTGGTTTCTTTAGTCATACACAGATTTCTAATGCTGCGCTGGGACTGTGAGCCATACCAAATAGACACGAGAAACCAGAGCTCAGGTTATCAAGGGAAGGTTGAGACTAATCAAGTTCACTAAGATTGAGTCTGTCTATAGTTATGGTAGAACTGGTTAGGTCTGGAGCTTGAAGGGTGTCAGGGAACCCAGGTGAATACAGGCAAACAGGAATAACACCAGGTGATCTAGTTACATATCACACATGAGCCTTGATAGCATATAAGACAATCTCTGGCTTCGCCATGAAGCTTCTTATATGCTTCCTGCTGAGACAAGAAATGTCTGGCAACTGAGTGAAGGAAATCCCCACCAGAAGGCTTGAGGGGGTTAATCAAGCTTGACTAAAAGATGTGAATCATATTTAGATGGGTAGCTTACAATCTCTCGTTCCTTTTACACATTTTACAAAGGATGATCAGAAACAAGTTTATTTCACATGTTAAATCTGCAGGGCTAAAGAGATTATATATATATATATATATATATATATATATATATATATGACTATATATATGACTATATATATGACTATATATATATATATATATATATATATATATATATATATATATATATATATGACTTTGCAGCATGGCTACTTCTCCCATTAAATTAAAAGAACATTCCAAAATAGCTCTACAGTATTCTGTACCTATGCTCTGCGTATCTTCTCTGCAGGTATATCAGCTGAGAAAATCCTCATGTGCAGACTGCTTCTGCTGCCTGCATTCACAGCGAGCTGTCTTAGTGCACAGAGTCTGAGCTGCATTAGTCCCAGGGGGAAGTCACAGTCAGTGTTACTGCTGCAGTCTCAATACCCTTTCCAATCTAGTTGCAAATAGGAAAAGTTGGACTTTTGCAAAATCAGTGGGAGAGAGTCCCACCTAAGGGTGAGGCAAATTGAAATTAAGATTGTGAAAGAGATGCCTTGAGCATCAATCAGGAAAAATTTTAAAGAGGTGTGAACAAGGAAGGCTGGAGGAGGCTGCATTTGTATGAGACTCTTTTGGCAAGAGCTGTTGCTTTTTTTGAAATCAGGTCATGGGAGTTGGGAGCAGTGTCTAATATAGAATGAGGTTTTGGGGATACAGTGCCCTTAGAAACTAGAAGAATATTTATAGATGGGATAAGGATTAATAATTTGATCTGGGCTTTATAAATTACTTTTCATCAAAGTGCTCAAATATCTATCATATTCACAATCTTTTTCACTCATACCATCCTTGTGAAGTAAGGGAAGCACCACTATTATTATATCAGCTTTAAAAAATAAATCAAAATCCAAGTAATTTAGTAATTTACTCACACTTATACAATGAGTCAAGAGCTAACCAGTTTACATTTTGGTGCTGTAATCATGAAGGAAGGTTCTCAATTCTGAAAAAGCAAAAAGTGCCCAGAGTTAAAATGGCTCTGAATATAATCTATGCATCCATTTCTCTTTAATGTGAATTCCTTTTCTTAAATTATATGAAAGTATAGCTCTCCACTTGAAAATAACTCTTTAAAAGTCTACTTATAATTTATCAATCATTTATTTTAAAAATATGATGGAGTTAGAAGATCATCAATGAATGCTAAAACCAGTAGGTTAAATTTTAGTGAGAAAGGGGATATTTACATAATCTCAAAGTATCTCCTCACAAATAACTACAGAAGGGAATATACTGATGATAAAATTAAGTAACCTGGTGGAAACCACCTTAATCAAGTGACTAAAATTAAATTCATCACTAATAGAACAAAGCAATATCAGGCCCTATATGCCAATCACTGAGAAGGACACCATATCACTCTGTGGTATCCCTGACCCAACCCCCCCCCCACACACACACACATAATTTAACCTTATCCTAAGGCTATATCAGATAAATCCAAATCAAGGAACATAATATAAAATTAACTTCCCTTCATTTTTCAAATATGTCAAAGTCAGGAAAGACAAAGGAGTACGGGACTGTTTAGATTAAATGACACTAATACTAATATCTCATAAAACTAAATGGAATGTGTGATCCTGGACTGGAGCCTATGAAAAATTTCACTGGGCAATCAAATAATTTGAATTTATACTAAATTATGTAATAAATTATATTAATGTTAATTTTAAATTATTATAATTGTACAGTGCTTATATTAAAGAGTATGCTTAGTTTTAGAAAATCCATCCTAAAGTATATAGGAAATAAAAGGGCATGATGTTGCCTTTATCTTTCTCTTAAATGGTTCATATAAAAAAGAGATAGAGAGACCTGGCCAGCATTACTTGGTGGCTAGACTGTTGGCCCATGCAATACGTGGTTCCAGGTTTAATTCCTGGTCAGGAGCATGTACCTGGGTTGCAGGTTCCATCCATGCCCCAGTCAGGGCACATGTGGGAGGTAACCAATCAATGTGTCTCTCTCATATTGATGCTCCTCTCTTCTGTCTCTCGCTCCCTCCCTCCCTCCTCTCCACTCTCTCTGAAAAGCAATGGGAAAATGTCCTCATGTGAGGATTAACAGCAAACACACACACACACACACACACACACACACACACACACACACACACACACACACACACAAATAGAAGAGACAGAGATAGAGAAGAGGATGCTAGGGCAAAAGGGGCAAAGTATAAATAATTGGTCAATCTATTAATTTGCTGAATATCTCAGGTCTAGGAAGTCTTTATAAGACTTGAGACAGTCTACAAATAATTACCAACTTCTTATCACATGTCAGAAACTGTTTTAGGGGATATATTGCTGAATAAACATACAGAACAACTCTTGGGTTTCAAAACTGTTTATCTGTTTTCTAAAAGAGATCCTTAATATGGAGCTCTCCATTTACACTAAAATATACTGCAGGGAAGAGACCAAAGCTCTTTTATTTTTCTTGAAACCAGTCCCCTTATTTCTTCTCTAGTTGCAAAAGTAAACAAGTCACTGAATCAATAGCACACACAGATGTCTTTACTTTATGGCCTGTTCATCTCTTGACCCAGGCTCTCTTTATCAAGGTAAAGTTCATGTTTTATATTTTCTCCTCTCGCTAAGAAGGATTAGTTTGATTGTTAAAGTTTGTAAGTGCTGTTTGGCCATGGTTCTTATCGTCTTTGATCTTGAAGGGTATGTTATGCTCAAGCAGAGAAAAGGACCATACAATATGCTCCTTATTCCGCCAGATCAACTCTGTACATAATCTGAAGTAATTTATAGCAGGGATGATTTCTGGATAATTCAAAAAAGAATTGAAAAAATTTTGCCACAATAAATGACATATTGTAGACAATATTTTCAGTAAAGTTCACACACTGTATTGGTCATAAGTGGCCTTTATTCAAAGCCCCAATTTAAAGCCGCTTCATGAGAGCAACAATCATTTATTATAAGTTGACAAGACATAAACCTTTTGTTAGTTGGTAACAAGTAGGTACATCAACTTGATATCATTACTTTAACATTATCTATTCGGTATTATGTAGTCAGTTAAATTAATTTATAAATATGTACAGGTGTATATGTGTATGTGTCACGGTTATATCAAAAGTAAAAAAAGGTAAGGAATTGCATTTGGTGTAATATAAGAAGACATATAATTTTTAAAACTGATTTCTCATACACAACATTAAAAACAATTATTGTCAATATAGACAGTTTAGGTAGAATATCATTATGCCTAATACTTGTAACATTAGCATAAGCTTCTTTCAAAATATTTATAATAATTAGTGTCAAAATTATATTCATAGTTATTATTATTATTGAACAAATAGTTATCAAGTGTCTCATAAGTATCATGGACTTTACTAAATGCAGGGCATATGATAAGGCTTATATGGCCTGCTACTCACATGGGACTTAGAATTAAGTGAAATAATTGCTATCCATTTTTTATTCAATAAATATTTAAAGTAGTTAATATGAGCGAAATATTATTTTAAATCTTTATTAAGTTCAAACTTGTAATCTTCATAACAATTCTAGGAGGAATAAGGTATAAGTACTTTCATTTTATAGATGCATAAAGTGAGGTACAGAGAGGTTAATAACTTCCCCAAGATTATATAACTAGAAAGTACTAGAAAAAAAAATTTGAACTAGACAATCTGAATTTCATTCTCTAATCACTGCACAATGTTACATTCATGGTCATCATTATCTTCATTATCATTGTTATCATCATTGTCATCATCACTAGCATTTATTAAAAGTTGGATTCAAAAGTTGTGCTGAGAACCTCATATACCTTATCTCATTAATGGAGCATGTGGCACAGTACCTTGCATATAAGTATGTATTCAATATAGTTGCTTACTGAATGGATGAAAACAATGTTCCAAAATTTCAGCATGTTGCCTTGATGATGCTGACACACTGTAACCTCACTCTTCTCATTTTGACCTTCTAAATCATTTACTATATATGCCACATAATATAGCATCTTTTATTATATCATCTCATTCTTTCTATTTTTATTTTTCAGATTGGAGTACTTTTATTTTTTATTTTTTTTTAATTTCTTTATTGATTAAGTTATTACCTATGTGTCCTTATCCCCACATTACCCCCCATCCCCCCCGACTCATGCCATCACCCCCCTGTTGTCTGTGTTCATTGGTTAGGCCTATATACTTGCATATAAGTCCTTTGGTTGATCTCTCCTCTCATTCTTTAATTATTAAATGGCGGTAATGTTACATGACCAGTATGCTCTTTAGTTATGTAAGCATAGTACTTTCAAATATTTAAGGTTGTCTTACACATCCTTACACATCTCTTAAATGTCTCCATTCAGAATTTAGTCTACATTAAAGAAATACTTGTGAGCTGATGCAATTCTGGATTCTGGATCATAATGGATTCTTAATTCTTGACATCTTAATTCTTGAATCCTTCCTAGAAAGTGGTAAGCATAACCAACATCCGAAGGAGTTAACTGCCCTCTGTGAAAAAACACTTGGCTACCAGTGGAATTTTACTCACCTTGACTCACTACTTAGTCAGGCAATCTATCTTACTTGATTTCTGTTTCAGATTCTCATCACAGATAGTTCCTCTCTCTCCTCACTCTTTCTCTCCCTCCTTCCCTTTTAAAATTGTGCTTTTGTTCCTCTCTATTTTTCAATGAACTGAAGAAAATCTCCAAGGGGCGATAATCACCCACCGGTTTTATAAAAGCAACTGCCTTTAATCCTGAATTTCAGAAACATTTTGATCCTGTTGTGTATTCCAAAGGAAGACAGAAGGGTTCTAGAGGATAAAAGAGAAAGAGCGGAGTAAAAGTAAAAGACAGATGCAGCAGCTTTACAACAACTCAGTTACACGAGCCAGAGAGCAGAGAAAGGAGGAGGAGAAGGAAAACGTTCTACAAACACGTCATATTTATCAAGGAAGCAAATAGTATTATTCCGAGAGTATATGCTTACCTGTCTTGTCTTATTCTCATTGCTGGTGCTATCACTTGATCCGTGAGATCCATCATTTGATTTTCTATTTCCAAAACATTACTCAGACATCAAAATATTTAGGAAAGGACAAGAACACATTAATGGCTCAAGAGAATAAAGTGAAATGGAGAAAAACTTTCTAATAATTGCACTGTCAAGTTATCTAATTCCACAGGTAGAAGAGGTAAGAGATATAAGAGCTGAATTTTGTCTACATAGAGATAAAAAGGGGAGGAACTATAACCACTCATTTAAGATTGAATATATAATGTGTATCAACGTCTAGAATTTAAACTGAGTTGTTTGACTCTACAAGGTTGTTGGTATTTAAAATGTAACTAGAGGCCTGATGCACAAAATTCATTCAAGAGTAGGCTTTCCTTCCCCCAGCTGCTGGTACTGGCTTCCCTGTGGCACCTGGGACCCGGGCTTCCCTCGAAGCCCTGGCTTGGCCCGGAAGGTCATCTGGTCTAATTTGCATATTATGTTTTTATTATTATAGATAATAGTGAAATAGTACTTTAAATTTTACTTTTAATCTTCACAATAATAATATGAGGTAGGTACTACATTACTCTTATTTTACAGATGAGAAATCTAAAGCACAAAAAGGTAAAATCATTTGTCAAGGAACCAACTAGTTAGTGGCAGCATAGAAACTGGAGTCCCAGCGGTTCGACTCCTAAATCTGTAAGCTTAATGCATGAACCTGCTAAAACACACACATTCCAACTATATTCATAATCATCATCAATATGTACCATAATTACCTATACAGCATATACTGTACATCATATAGAATATTATTCACCACATACCTGATGAATAATTTTGTCAAAAATATCTTTCTATTTGGTTCCCTAAAACAAGACTTACTTATTTGAAATTATTACTGATAAATGTTACATGGGTTTTTACCAGTTTTTATTAATAGTTCATGGCTATTTTATTGTTACATTTAAATAAGCCTGTTTTCATCTACAATAATAAAAAAGAGAAGATACCAGAAGTCCACTAAACTTAGGTCAGCTCTCTTTGCCTCCAGCATTTCTGTCAATTTGTCATGCAGAAATCACTGGGAAATTCCAGACTGCCACCCTTCTTTAAAGCTGGCTATGAAGTGAATGAGGAAAGCAAATAGGGAAATTTTCTATGGAAATCTGGGCCTTTGGCAGGCTTTCCTACTCTATAAGTTTTATTTTAGAGTTGAAATAACAAAGTCCTATGTGCATAAGAAGCGAGTGATATCCAGATGTCAAACGCTCATTGAGTTCTCGAAGAACAAATCCAGTGGACCCTTGAACAGCACAGGGTGGGGAGTAGGGAGACACTTACCCCCACATATAACTTTGGACTTCAGAAGAACTTAACTACTAATACTCTACTGTTCACTGGGAGCCTTACCAATAACATTAACTGTTTATTAACCCAAACTTTATGTTATATGTATTATTTTGTAACCTTATAATAAAGTAAGTAGGGAAAAGAAATATATCTAAAAATATAATAAGGAAGAGAAAATACAGTTACTATAGTTATTGAAAAAAATATATGCCAATTTATTATAAATGGACCTGTGCAGTTCAAACCTGTGTTGTTCAAGAGTCAACTGTATATCTTTTTTAAAAAATATGTTTTATTGATTTTGTACAGAGGAAGGGAGAGGGAGAGAGTTAGAAAAATCGATGAGAGAGAAACATCAATCAGCTGCCTCTTGCACACCTACTGGGGATGTGCCCACAACCAAGGTACATGCCCTTGACTGGAATTGAACTTGGGACCGTTCAGTCCACAGGCCGAGGGATGCTCTATCCACTGAGAAAACTGGTTAGAGCAACTGTATATCTTTTTAATATATCACCAGAACTTAATCCATTTTTGTGCTCAGCATTATTTCCTAGAAATAATAATTCACCATGTCATATATATTTATTCTGTTATACAAAAAATGTTGCACCTACTTTTTGTAATATGTTCAAGCTACAATTGTGATTGTAGTCTTAACATATTAAGACCCTGCCTAGACGAATTCATAGTCTTGTTGTGGGAGAGGCTGAGGAGTTAGAAGGGCAGGAGGGAAGGCACAGGAAAATAAATTTAACAGTCAAATATAATTAAATTAAATTACAAATACAATTAAATTAAATTTTAAATTCAATTAAATTAGAAGTAAAAAGAGAGAAATTCCAGGATATTATGGTATTAGAGAAGGAAACTCTTAACTATGCCAAGAGCCAAGAATTGGAGGATAGCATTTAGTCACTAAATAAAATAATTCAAAATTTCATTCATTTTGTATGTGAACATTAATATTCATGGAATGCTTATTTTTAACACTATTTCTTGAGTACTACTGATAGTAGTGAGTAAATGTATATTTGCAATGTATTGCTTCAGACTGGAATATGCCACCTTTCAGGCACCTCAATTGGCTCCCAATTTACAGTTGACTCTGATAACAACCAGGACTGACCATCTTTAGGAAAAAATCTTTTGTAAATACTTGTTGGCATCTACATCCATTGAAACTCCTTCCATGATAATAGGTATGTGACTCATACATTATTGGTTAATGGTTGGGTAATAAATCTTATCTTTCACATACAAAATAATAAAGGGTTTATCACATCAAATCTATCCAGCCTGGCCCCATTAACTATCTGTTTCTTACCACAGCCATGAGAGATAGTCTAAGCAGATCAACCACAACTGATGACAGGGAATTGTAATTCACAAGAGATATTTGGCTTTCTTCACAAGCATAAACCATAATTTATTCAATGAGTTATCTATCTACATCCAAATCTATTATTTATATCAGGCTTTCTCAACCTTGGCACCATTGATATTTTGGGTTGGATAATTCTTTATTTTGGAGGAACCATCCTATGTACTGTAAGGTATTTTGCAATATTTCTGTCCTTTACCCACTAGATGCCAGTAGCAATCTCCCTTACCTGAGGGTGACAAACAAAAATGTCTCCAGATGTTGCCAAATATCACCTGGGGAGTAAAATCCCCAGTGTGGTTAAGAACCACTGATCTATGTTAAATTGTATAGACTCCCAAAGAAGATATTCTGTATTATCCCATATTTTACAGATAAAAAAAAAAAAACACTGAGGAATTCAACTTACCAACACAGGTACCCAATTATTTTCATAACACCAATTAAACATCTATATGCTAATGGGACTAAAGAAACAGTTCAAGTCAGACTTTTATGCAGGTTCAAAGTTTCCTCCAAATGTTCTCAATAATAAAAGATTTTTGAAGACATGGTTATATAGACAACAGAGGCCCCTTGCATTAAATTGGAAAAGAACAGGCTATGGATCTGTGAAAGTGGTAGCATAAAACAATTGTTATTTGAGTAACAAAGAAAACAAGAGTTCTGAGTTTCAAATAAGAGGAAATATTTGAGAGTTAGTCTGAAAAGCCTTCTAGAAAAGACATGACTTGAGTTACCTATTGAATAGTTAAAAGATTTAGAAGGAAGAAATCTCAGAAATAGTGATTGGATAATAAAGGGACAGTGAAGTGAGAAAATTCTAGGAGAATTTTGGACGAAAAGGTAAAAATGTACAGTAGAGGGGTTAATATACAAGATTTGTAACGAATTAGGTTGAAAAGGCATATGGAGTTACACTGCAGAGTGCCAAATGGCAAACTAAAGATTTTTAACTTTATTTTTTAGGAACTAGAACGCTATGAAAGATTTTTTGAGAACAGTATAACACAATGAACATCGCCTTTCAGATTAAATGGTAACTGTTGCAGAGAATCTATTAGAGTGGGGAACAAAGAAGATATAAAGGCCAGGATGATCTAGAATATAACCCATAAATAATATTTTTTAACTTAGAAAGGTAACAGCAAATAAACTATGATCATGGAAAGAATGTCTGTATAATTGCATGAATTAAGGCACCATAAGTTCATTTCAGCAATTAGAATCACATTGGTTCTGATCCATTCCCAATACAACTGGTTATGGTCACAGAATCATGAAGCTAGCCCCCATGATGAGATTAATAATAGCAGTAATGCAACCAGATAAGCTTCTCCTTTTCTTTTGAGTTAGCTGTCTTGAAGTTGCCTTTTTTATTTTATTTTTTTGTACCTCCATAGTTTGTCCTGAAGTATTGTATATCTTGGCATGCGTTGGAAGATCTCCTAAAAACCTTGATGTTATCAATTTAACTATGCTCTAGGGAGCATGACTATTAAAGTTATTATCTATACAAGGAACTGGGAAGTGGTAGATTGAGACTGTTATCTGATTCTACTACCATAAGTGAATGGTACCTCAAATCAGCCTGAAGGAGAAAAATAATGTTCTCCATGCTCTATATTGCTTGTTCACATATTTTAGATATTATTCCTCTTTTTCTTCCTCTCCCTATCAAGTTTATGTTTAGCTCTGCCCAGCCTTGATTCTTCATCTAAGGATGGATAGGGGAATTAGATGAAAATCAAGAAGTGAGCATTAAATCATCTATATCACTCTGATGAGGAGAGATGTATAATAGGTAATATGGGAACCTGACTTATATTTTCCTGGATATGTTAGATCTTCAGAGATGATGCTGGAGAGTGAATTTTCCAAATTTAGCAATATTACTATCAAAAGCAAGATACAGATGATGGTAATATTAGCAATATCTAGAATAACTTTCTACATAGACTGAATTTGAGAAGACCCACATAGTTCAGAAGCTCAGGAAAATCCCCCAGGCCATCTGCTTACTGGTGCCTGAAATGACATAGTAAGAGTTTCATTTCTTAGCCCAAAGCATTTGATTTCTGTTTAAGTACAAATCTTCCGAGCATTACAATACTCAAAGTTGCTGCTATATGCCAGAAAAAAAATATTTCAAATACTTTTTTAAAAGTAGATTTGAGCAAGGAGAGATTATGAGGCTACTGGATCCTGAAAAGAGGTGGAACAGTACAACCTTAAGGGATAAAGGCTGGGTAGGGATGAGAAAAGGGAATAAAAAAAAAAAAAAAAAAAAGAAGAAGAATGCAAAATACAACAGAGAACATGTGAAAAGACCTTACTATCTTTCCTAGATCCGGGGGTTGATATTACTTCTTGAGGATATGCTACTCTTGCTAATTTCTATCTTCAGCATTAAGATGTTAGAGGACTCAGACAATGTCT